ACAAACAATAAATAAACTTTAAAAAAAAAATCAATTGTCCTTTTTTTTTTTACAACTACAGGCATGAACAGAAATCCTTTCAGGTTATTCTATATCTCTTTGTTTTGCTAGAACCATTTTATACAAATTCCTGTATTACTTTATAATAAAATAAAACCTTAGAGGGTTGTCTCCACCAAGTTTGCCAACTTTTTTGTAGCAGACATTTGTTGCTTATATTGACCTGGCAGCCATTCCCCTGCCTTTGGTAATGACACTCCAAATTTCTTACAAGAAATTTGTACTTCCACTACTTGTACTTCCACTTCCATCCTTCCACTACTCTAGATCTTTGTAATTTGGATGTAACATCCCAACCTTAGAGCACAGGGATAAAGTTGCAACCCAATCAGAGCCTGGTAATTGAGTATTTCTGTTGTACCAGGCACTATTTTAAGCACCTTGCAAGTATCAACAACTTTAAACTTCAACCCACTGACGTAGGAACCATTGTGGTACAGGTGAAGAAACCAAGGCTTGGAGAGGTAAAGTAAGTTGTCCAAAGTTCTAAGAACAGTAAGTGATGGAGGTGCCTGGGTGGCTTAGTTGCTGAAGCATCTGACTCTTTATCTCATCTCAGGTCTTGATCTCAGGGTCATGAGTTTAAGCCCTGAGTTGGTCTCTGTTCTTGGCATGAAGCCTACTTCAAACACAAAACAATACCAGTTAAGTGATGGAGCTGATCTGGTTCCTGAGTCCATGGTCTCAACCATCACATTATGCTGCTTCATCTAGCAGGAATAATGCTAAAAGGGGCTGGGGGAGGGGACTCTATCTTTTTTACTTAACTTAAATCTGGGAGGATTTCACCTTAGAACTAGTGGGGGTAAGAATGAAACAATCACAGAAGGAAGCGGAGTTAAGAGAAGGTGCGAGATTTTTGACAATATCATTCGAGAACATAGATTCAGCCATTCTTGAAACCATGATGCTTCTAGGCTTCTCAGTGTGGAAGCCAATAGATTCCTTTTCCGAAATCAGTTTGAATGGAGTTTTCTATCCCCTCAACAGAAAGCGCCCTAAACAATTCACTTGTATGTCACTTGTAGAGAATAGGTCGGGCCATTCACCTGCAATAACAGGCCTCCCCCTCCTGAGGAGTTTTTCCTCATAGGCCCTCGCTGAGGAAAATGACTGGAGATAATTAATTCGGATATTGATGACCACATTATGTGCATTCTGACCCTATTCCTATGGCCACAGCTGGTCAGCAACATAGCCTGTGACTTTTGAGAGAAACATTGTTTAGTTGGCACACACATATCCTCCCAAGAATTTGAACCAGAGATGCAGAGGAGTCAATTAACTGACAGCAAAAGGGAAATGTAGTTAGTTATAGGTGATAACATAGGTGAATCATATGAAAAACAAAAAGTCACTAGAATAGGCACCTTTGTGCCCTAGATTGAGAGGAGGAAATTTTTGGAATTCTTGTCAAGCACCTGAGCTGTCATCAGAACTGCTGGATTTAAAGCAATATCCTGCTATCTAATCTCCCAAAAGCCCAGCCATGTAGCTTCAGCCCCTGCGTCATCGTTCAGGACATATCCCACTGTATGATAGTCCGTTTCTCGTATATTAGACACCGAGTTCTTTCAAGGAAGGGAGCATGTGTTTATTCACCTTTAAATGGGCAAGCTAGACACACAATATTCAAAATATTAGTGTTTTTTTTTTTTAAATCACAGCATATCTTTAAAATGTAGCAAAATGGGGATGCCGTGGGTGTCTCGGTTAAATGTCTGACTTCAGTTTAAGTCATAATCTCACAGTTTGTGGGGGCGGTGCCCTGCATCAGGCTCTGTGCTGACAGCTCAGAGCCGGGAGCCTTCTTTGGATTCTGTGTCTCCATCTCTCTCTCTCTCTCTCTCTCTCTCTCCCTGTCTCTCTCTCTCTCTCTGTCTCTGCCGAGGGGCAGCCCCACGTGTGCTGGCTCTCAAACTAGATAAGCTTAACTGACTGAGCCACCCAGGTGCCCCACAAAAGGCAATTTTCCATGGACTATGCTTTGGGCTATAAAGAAGAGATGATCACGTATCCTTGAAAAATGGATGGCTTGTTAAAATGTTATGATGGAAACATGCACAGTATTGGTAGTAGCACTTACCCTAGCCAGAAGATCAGAAGTCAGGAAAGGCTTCCAGGAGGAAGTATAAGCCTGAGCTTCATTTTGACCGGTGCTGTAAAGGGAGGACAAATGTTGAATAAAATATAGCAAATTCTCCCCTTTATTAGTAATCACAGAAATGCTAATACCATAGTGAGATAATCATTTTAAAGCCCTTTCCTTTGTAAAATGTAAAAA